CTCAACGAGAGGAATCCAATGAACTTAGGATCACTCAATTTCGAGGTCATTAACACACTCAAATCACTAAAAAATTTCTATGATCAAGATAGATCAATGTGGGTCATCCGATTAGATGATTGTAGAAGTTATTTGCCAAAAGACCAAAATGCCTCTGTTCTAATGGCTAAAAATAGACGCCCTCCCTTCACTTGAGGTGAAGGAAAAATGAAGAATTTTCAAAGCCTTATTTGGACTGAAGAACTGATGAAAGTCTTCGACCTCCATAGCCGCCGATCACCGTTGACCATCGCATGTCGGCCCCCCTTGCTTGCCGCTGCCCCCCTTGCTTGCCGCTGTCAGCAATCCGTGTTTGCTAACATTATTTCTCAAATATCCCCATAACATATTACATCATATTAGAGACAAAAAAAAGTTCCAGCCATCTTAGTCACCAACTACCGCAGACGCTCATCGGCTGTCGTCAACCACTGTAGCTGTCATGCTCACCGTCATCAATAACCCTTACTCATCATCATCAACAACCTCTACTTGTTAACATTGTATTCAAAATACAACCGTAACGTATAATGCAGTATTAAAAACCTGATAATAAATTTTAGCCTCTATACCCGCCGTCCATTGTCGGCCACTACTCGTTGATTGTCATCGACCACTGTCGACCACCGCCTGTAGGCTGTCGTCAACCACCACCTATCGATCGACATTAACCATCTTCGATAGCCCCTACTCTCCAATGTCAGTAACCCATGCTTACTAAGAGTCTGTTTGGGGCAACAATAAATTATTGATAATCTGCTGAAAAGCAGCTGATCCAGATAAGCTGTTGATCAACAACTAATTTGGATAAATTGGCTGTTTGTTTGGTTCATGCATTTGGAACGAGCTGATTTGTAGCTGTTTCTGGATAAATGGGGGTTCTGCCCCCGTGCAATAATGTTCTTTACGACAGAACTGTCACAACTATAATAAATCTGCTAATATTTGTTATTAATTTTTTATTGCAATCAATATTTGTTAAGATAGTATAAATTTAAACTTAATATTAATAATGCAGAAAATATTTATATATATATAATTTAAATTATTTTATAATTTAATACTTTAGTAAAGCTAAAATACAAATATAATATAACTTTATGTTTTATTTATACGTTTAATACTAAATAATTATTTAATATTAGTATTATTAATAATGTAATAACAATATTTATTAAACTTTATTGTATAGTAAATATGAGTTTAGTTAGTTAAAAATATTCAATTATTAAAATTATATATGTATTATTATAAATTAAGTGTATTTTATGTAATAAATACTTCTTAAATTAACTTATTTTAAGATATAGTTTAAATTTTTTTATAATATTATTTACGTAACATTTTTATATTAAATTTTAGTTATATATATTTATTATAATAAATTAATAGATAAACATGTTATATAATTTAGTTAATACTTATTTACATAAATACTAATTATAAATATAGTTTATAATTAATGTATAACTATTTAATTTAAAATATATAGTAATATAAATAATTATGTATAAAGTAAATTAAATTAATTTATGTATTATAATTCTAATTTTATTTTTAAATTAACTTTATGTTTAACATTTATATATTTTAAACTAACTATAATATATGTATAATTTTAAAATTAATTGGTATTATATACAAATTAACAAAATATTAAATATATTTAGTTATATATTAAGGTATCAAAACTATATTATTAAATACTCATATTAAGTATGTTTATAAGTTAATATTTAACATTTACTAATTTAAATTTAATGTTTTTTATCAACCGTACAAATAACAATGCAAAAACACATGAATACTGCCGCAACACCGCGAATCAACGATTGACAAAATATGCGAATAATACCGCGAATAACACTGCAATAATACATGAAAACTATTGTGAATAACACCATGAACAACATCGGAAATCAACAGACTTGCGACCACACAAATAATACCGCGAATAACGCCGAGAATCAATAGATGCACGACCGCGCAAATATTACCTATGAATAACACCGGACGTGCAATTGCGGGGGAGTAGAGCCGTAAAAAAATTTTTCTGAATGTGGGACACAGGATCAAACCCGTGACCGGCTGTAATACAAAATGAAGTTAGTTTATGCCGCATGGCAGCCTCGACGGAGAAAACAAACACTAATGTCGGCGTTTTGAAAACACCCCGAAGCTATTATGCGGCGCCAAACGAGCCCTAATATTGTATCACAAACACGGCTGTAATGTGTAATGTCATATTGAATAAACAACAAAAACTTCCGATTTTCATAGTTGCCGACCACCATCGACCATAATCAGTCAACTGCCATCGACTACCACCGATTGTTCCTACTTGTCGCCGTTAGTGATCCCTGCTTGCTTACGTCATATTCAAAATATGAACATAACGAAATGTGCAGTTTAGTCTTTAAAGTATCCTATGAACATAATGAAATGTGCCATCGACGCCTATGTGCTTGTAACTGAAATGTGCAGTTTAGTCTTTAAAGTATCATCTTCACTGTGAGATTTGTGTTTGTCAGAGTTGGATTTTTATGATATCTCTTGTGCGAAAGCGATAATAGAAGAGTCACATAGTGTTCTTGAATTCCAAGAACGTGGAGAGATTCGAGTGTGGTGTAATCTATACATTCTTCTCATTTATTCATAGTGAATTTCCTGTTGTGGCTCCATATTTTTTCCTATTCTTGAATATTTTCACATTAAATTTTGGCGTTCTTTGTATTTTCTGTGTTTAATTACCTTGTGTGCGTATGTTCTAAGTTCTATTTCAGATCTCTCGAATCAATTTCCACAATTTCCCCCACAACAAATCTTGCACTTGCTACCTGCTCGTCAGTGTCTCCCCATGAGTTCCCCGAATGGCTCAATATCGCCCATCTTTGTTCTTTTGCTTTGAATGCTGTGTTGCATATGGTTTCTATAGAAGGAAGGAATTTTTGGTGCTGGTAATTTTGTGCTTGCTTGCCATAGGTTTTATTACTGTTTTTGTGGATCTATAATCTTTGCTTCCAGTATTGCTTGTTAAGCTTCTTTTTAAGGTACTATAAGCTTGGAATTGAAATATTTCTACTTTTGTTATTACTAATTTACTGATTCCTTAACAGGCTTGGTGAGGATTATCTATTAAGCATGGCTAGAGGTGGTACCTTCAGCATCAAGGGGCTTTTTCATTATTTTATTTGTTTTTTAGTAGATATATGGAGTGTAGTTAATGGTTTTTATAGTTAAATATTTTGAAATTATGTTTGTTGAATTTATTACTTGTTTTAAAGATTTTATTTTTGTTGAATTTATATTGTAGAATGAACAAAGAATTTGCACATATTACCTTGATTATGTGACCAAGTCTGGCTATTTTAATGAAAGTTTATGTCATACTACATTATTATGGCATTCATGTTATTTTTATTTTTTTATATTTATGATGTCACTCAGTTCAATTTTTATTCAACCTTCAATCTTGAAATTTCTTGCTATTCTGTTCAATGTGCACGTTTTTCAAAACCTTGCTCTTATCTTAAATATGTTATACGGGTCGAGTTTGAGTGAGTAGATTGAAAGAGGGTCAGGTTGAAGTATGACTTTCTGACTCGTCTTTTATTAAGATCCGACAGTTTCAGGTCAGGTCAATTTCAAGTTAAACCTAAATTTGACTTGTGAACTCAATTTGACACCCATAAATGAGGCTTAACTTGACAGTCAGCTTATCATTCAAAATGAAAAAAAGCAAAAGAAAAAAACAAATTTTTTTAATCTAAAATATATATATATATATATAATTGCCAGATTATTTTAACATAAATCGATTTATTAAATTTTAATTACAATTCTTTTAAAAGTAACAATAAATACTTTCGGATAATATTTTTTTTATCAATATCTTAATCCAAAATTTGTTTTTAAATACAGCTATGTTTTATAATTTTTTATCTATTTTTAAAATATCAAGGTGGTGAATTATAAATTTATATTTCTCTTAAAATAATATTAAATCCTCCCCTTCTTCTACAACCGGCCTTTTAAAGGCCATGCCCAACTCTCTCCTACCATTGCCCCTCTAAAGCACAAGTTCTCTCTCTCTTCTCAGGTAATGCATCTAAGCCCTCTCTCTCTCTTTCC